TTCAGGCCTCCGAGGGGCATGGGATGATTGCCGCTCCACGTTCTCTCAGGCGCCGAATCGGTGGCAGAAGCTTTCGGAAACCGCGCGGCCTACTCTGTCACGTCTATCACGTGCCAGTTGCACACGCGCTCGAGAGCGCGCGCGGGCGCTCGGAGGCGAGGTCAAAGGCCCGCGCATGGTCAGCATCGCTGTGTGGTCGCTGGGATGTCCGCTCCCAGTTGCTTGAATGCTCCTTCCGGTGCAGTGGAGACCCATGCCAAGAAGCACCCTGCTTGCTTCCAGGGTGCCCTGGGGATTATTGGGTTTGATGGTTGTGCTATGGGAAGCAGTTCTTTCCCACACCAAGCATCAATATGGACGCCTTGGGGTCTCAGGGTTGCGTTTCTTGTGGAAGGTTTCTTGTGGACTGGCCTCCATTGTAGAAACTGGCAGCAACATCGGATCCTCACCACTCCAAGTCTTTGGGTGCTGAAAGTGTGGCGGGGGGGCATGGGGCACAGGGTGATCGCAGGTCCACAATCGGGTGGCAGGACAGTGGAATCGCAGTTCCTTGGAGCCTATGCGACATGATTAGGCTGGGCTAGGACAGGGATAAATCGTTCCAGAGCGTTCTGCAATGCTCTCGGAGCGTTCCGGAACGTTCTGGGAAGGCCGCGGCCCCCAATGCATCCTCCAGAAGCGCCAGATCTCAGGGATCCCCGATCTATTTGCGTCTGATTTTGTGTTTGTCTTGGCTTCGTCTTACATGATCGGTCCGATTCGGTGTCAAGCGCGAGCTAGCAGTGCTTTGGCGATTTCGTGGACAATTTTCGTATTGATCCCGTGCAGGGCGACGACAGAAAGAGGGAAAACGAACACAACACGAAAACGGAAACATTGCTTAGCTCGCGCCCTGTTTCGGTGCAGCGATTCCGGCCACGCCCCGTCGCGCGCGCCCACTGCCGCGCCTCATCGGCGGTGCGCCGTCCGTTCGCCCGAGGACTTCGCGAGGCTGCTGTGAGTCCCCGCCCCATCGGGGTGTTGCCAGACGGGTCCTTGGCTTGAACGATGTCAAAAACGTTTTGGGGTGTTTGGTGTGGTTTGGGAGCGAGCTTTTTTTAGTTATTTGATCTTCGATCGCGCCGTTTTCGGTTCTGCTCCGTCTAGTTCTGCAGCTCTCTTTTCTGCTTCGGGTAAGCTTTTTTGTTTCCCCCGTCGGTTAGCCGAAACCGAAGATTTGACCCCGGATGAGCACAAAAGAGTCCCCCGCGCTTTTGACATCAACGAAGCCCCTGGCCCAGCCCAGACCAGCCTTGCTCGCGTCGTGAAACAGGCCACGACGGAGGGCTTCTTTGGCCGTCTTCGGCCTCCGTTCGGGGGTGGACAGGCCTCCTACCCTGACACGTCGATTAAGGAATTGGCCGTTTTCGGTTCGCGAGAGGGCGTCGCGGCCGTCATTTTTGCGGGTCCAGGTCCGTCGGTTTCGGTCTTAGGCGGCTTTCACAAAGGGGAGGTTTATTAAAGGGAGGTTTGTCCACCGCCGATCCATGGGGCCTTCGCCAGGCCCCGAGCCTGTCCAAACATTGCTCGGGACGAGAAGCCGGCCCTGTGGAGCGGGTCGGGACTTCCAGGGACCCCGTACCCCAGGCCTCCTCGGGTAATGACATACATCATGACAGGAGTTACTTCCTTAGTGTTGGCCTCCGAGGGCCCTTGCTGGGCCTCGGGACTGTCAAAAAACGACTCAGGATGAGAAACCGGCCCTAGGGAATGGGTCGAGATGTTTGGGGATCGACGCAATGAAAAAATCATGACGTCGAGGGCTTGGGATTGAAGCAATCGAGACACCGGAGGTCTGAGGAGGTGTCCCCAGGAGTTCCAGGGAGGCCTGCGCGGCCTCCCGACTGGGCCGAACGAAAGGGGGGGATATGGCGAGATCTGCTGCACGCAGCTGGTTTCGGCCCCGCCGCCGGGCCCATTCCTCGATGCGGAGGCGCCGGGAAAATCGGCTACGTGAGCTGATTCTCAAGCGCCCCCTCTCTGGACGCCCGAAATGGGTACGGAAAGAATGGGTACAATGCCCAACAGCAGTTCCTGTTCGTTTTGAACAGGATTCGCTGTCCACGCCGCCGCTGCCTGTGTCCATTCGCGACAGAAGGCCGAATGCCCAACAGCGGCCGCCGTTGGTTTGGGACAGCATTTGTTGTTGGGCATTTTGCCCGTTCTTTCCGTACCCATTTCGGGCGTCCAAGAAGAGAAACCCTAACCCCAATGTCACGGTGAAGACGTGGCCTCACTGAGGTGCCCGTCCTCACATTGGGGACAATGGATCTGGGCGGTTTGGGTACGATACATCCGCCGAACAAGAAAAAGCAAAAAAACAGCCTATCCCTAGTGTTCTTGGCCCGCCCTTCCAAAGTTAGGTCCCCTCTGCCATCCCCCCCTTCTGCCCGGCCCGATCCAGAGCATCCCTCCCGAGGGGCCCGAGGGGCCCCGGGGGAGACGCCTCGGGCCATGGGCCACCTCCGGCAACCTCCGCCCTGTGCCCTCCCCGCGGCCGGCCGCGGCGCCGCGCGGCCAGAAAAGCGCCCGCCCGCAGCCCCGCGCGGGGACCCTCTCGATCTCGGTGCGATTCGGCATCGATCTTCACCGCCTCGATCTCCGCCTCGACCTCGATCTCGACCTCGATCTCGACCTCGATTTCCACCACCACCACCACCATGAGTTGGAGGAGGGAAGGAGGAGGAGGAGGAGGAGGAGGAGGAGGAGGAGGAGGGGGAGGGGGAGGGGGAGGAGGAGGACGACGAAGAGGAGGAGGAGGAGGAGGAGGAGGTGGTGGAGGAGTATCCCCTCCCCCTCCAACTTATGGTGGTGGTGGAAAACAGGCCCATCACGATCTCGATCTTCACCACCTATGGAGCCCATGCCCCCCCAAACCCGAAATTCGGGTCTTCGGGTTGGGTAGGGGTGGTCTGTCAGGCAGTCAGATCTCGGTTCGATTCGGCATGCGGTGTCCGTTCCAGCCAGCTCGAGCCCCGACCTGGTTCCGCCGGTTCGCGTCGATGTCGTGCGGGCCGATGCTCGCATGTGCGTCGTTGTCCTGGAGCGGCAGGTGCGGACTCGTGGTCAACTCCGTGCCGATGCGGCGGCCCGATCCGATGCACAGTTCGGTCTGGTCCGGCTTCCCGACTTGGTTGACGGATCCTGGCCCGCCGTTGCCTCCGTGGCCTGGAGGCGGCTTTCGGGCCCCATGGGCTGTCAAAAGACTGTCCGGGGCGACATTCAGGAGGGGAGAAAACACGCAGACACAATTAATTGTCGATTCCCCGGAAAATATTGGAAAATATGGGCAGTGGGTGGAAGACTAACCCAGAAAATATGGGAAAATAATGGGAATCCTGTTATTTGTGTGTATTTATTTGTGTGTCCCAAGGCCCCTTCACAAAACGAGGCCAGAAGCCCTTATAAATTACACGATGGTTGCGTCCCCGAGGCAACAAGCCCTTGTAAATTACACAATGCTTGCGTCCCCGGCGCGATAAACTTTCGTGAAGTACGCGATGTTCGCGTCCCCGAAGCCATAAACGTTTGTAGATTATGCAATTATCGCGTCCCCTGAACCCATAAACCCTCGTAAATATTCGCGCCCCACGAAGCCATAAACCCACGTAAATTACGAAACATTCGCGTACCCGAAGCCATAAGCTCCTCTCAATTTCGCGATGCTCGCGTATCCGAAGCCACAAATCCTTACAAATTATACCATAGTCGCGTCCCCGAGGCTATACAACCTTGTAAATGACGCAATACTCGCGCCCTCGAGGTCATACACCCTGTTAAATTACGCGGGAGAAAGGGAAGGGCAAGCTGGGATCACCCGTTCTTCCGATTGCTTCCCCTCCCCGCCCACCCCGTTCCTTTCCCCGCCTTCTCCTCGTCCATCTCCACCCCTCGTGTTCCCCGTCTGCCTCCTCCCTGCGCCCCCCCCATTCTTGGCCTCTTCCTGCTGCCTGTCCCTCCCGCCCGCCTCCCCGTCGACGCTTTGCTCCCCGACGCCCTTTGCCTTGACCCCCCCCTCCTGCTTCTCCTCCTTCCCCTCCCCCCCCCTCCCTCCCCTTTCCCTCCCTCTTCCCCCTCCCCGCTCCCTCCCCCCCCCCTCCCTTCCCCCTCCCTCCCCCCCTCCTCCCCCCCCCTCCTTCTCCTTTTTACAATTACACCATATGAAAATACTCTCCCACTTCCCCTGATGGCGTCCCGAAGATATCCGACACCCCCCCGCGTATTGTTTTTTTACACAGGATTCCCGGGAAACGGGTTTTCGCCTGCGTTTTTTTTCAAAATGCTGCTCTCGCTGAGGCGCCGGCCTCATTTCTGCTCCCGAATCGTTCCGAATCGTGCTCCCGCTGCAGCGTGGGCCTCATTTTCGGATCGGTGTTTGGCCTCCGTCGTTCAGGATGGCGTTCTCGCCCCAGCGCGGGCCTCTTTCTCGCGCGCCCATCCGCCCGCCACCACCGCGCCGCACCACACCACCACCACCACCACCACCACCACCACCACCACCACCAGCACCACCACCACACACCACCACACCACCACCACCACCACCACCACCACCACCACCACCACCACCACCACCACCACCACCACCACCACAACCACGCACACACGCACGCACGCACGCACGCGCACCACCACCCACTACGCACGCGCGCGCGGAGCCACAGGTCCGCTACGACACGCGTCCGCGGATGGAGAAAATCAGCGCCATGGTAAGGGACGGGAGGGAGGGGTAGGACGTCAGATATGACGCGAGCGCACCTAGCTTGCCCTCTCCCCCTCTCCTCCTCCCCCTCCCCCTCTCCTCCTCCCCCTGCCCTCCCCCCGACGACTGCGACGGCGGCGACAGCCACCGCAGGCGGCGACGGCGACGCCTCCCCGACGGCGGCAGCCCCCGCCGCCGCCGCAGACGGCCCGAGCCCCCGGGCGCGGCGCGCGCCCTGGCCGCGCGCGCGGCCCGCGCCCGGCGGCGGCGGCGGGCGCGCCCCTGCGCAGCGGCGCAGGACGGTGCGCCCGCCTGCCGCCTGGGCCTCCGCGGGCGCGGCTGCGCCATGGCAGGCGCGCCGCCGCGCGGCGGCGGCGGCGACGGCGCCGTCGACGCCGCACGACGCACGAGGAGCGACGAGCGACGAACGACGACGACGACGACGACGACGACGACGACGACGACGACGACGACGACGACGACGACGAAGAACGACGAACGACGAACGACGACGACGCTCGCGCGGCCCAGACATCCTCGCGCCGGGGCAAAAATCAACGATCCGGAAAGTGTTTGGCGACGCTTCCCCGGGGGCCAGGGCCCTTTCACTTCAATACAGGGAAGGCCCATGCCAAGAAACACCCTGCTCGCCTCCGGGGTGCCCTGGTTTTCTTGGGCTTCGGTGGTTTTGCAACGGAGAGCGTGACGTGCCCACACACACACAAGACTTAACGGACGTCCTGGGGTCTCCGGGGTCGGGTTTCTTGCGGAAGGTTTCTTGTGGACTGGCCTCCGCCGTAAGTCAGGGCGCTGCTGTCCAGGACGGTGCACATTCCGCTCCGAAAGAGCGGATGATGGAACGGATGACAGGGGATGTTCCACCCACGGCTGCAGTTTGTTCGGGCGCGCCGATGTCCTGGCTTACCGAAGTTCTTAGGCTAAGAACTTTGGTATACCAGGAAATGCGCGGCGTTGTCGTTGGCTGACCGTCGAGCAGTTTCCGCTTGCCGTTCGCGCGTCGGCTGACGGTCCTATTGATCTAAAATTCCTCATGTGGGGGGCGGGGGTCGTTCTTCATGCGTTCATTAGGTAGGAGCCCCCGATCTCCGCCTCCGAGGGGCCCTCGCTGGGCCCCTGGGCCCTCAAAGAGCGTCGCAGGATCTCAGAGCTCGTCCCCGGGAGGAGGCCCATGCCTCTGGGGAGTTTGGATGTCTGGAGAGGCCTTTCGGATGAGACGATTCTCCGAACTCCTGGCTCCAATCCTCTCATTTTCCATCTTGGAACCCCGATCATTCAGGGGCAACGCCAGGGTGTGATAGGCTCGGGGGGGATGCATCGCCCCCCGATCACCCATTCATCGCCGACAGGGGCCCGATAGCCCACGCCACCCAGGAATGCGCGGAGTCGCCACCCGGGGTCTATGACGGATCTATCGGCGATGTATCGCCGAGTCCAGTCCGATGCTTCCGCCCTTGAGTGTTGTTATCGCCGGGACGTGTGCAGTTCTTCGTGGCGAGGACCCTCGAGGAGCATCTTGGATCACCAGGCGAAGAAGCAAGCGCCCGGCATCGAAAAATACATGGGGACTGGACCGAGCGAGGGCGAGGAGCCCGTCCCCCCCATGACGTGCCCCCGCAGTCCCGAGCCCGCGTGTCCGCGAGCGCGGGGCGCGCGCCCCGCGCGCGCAGGGGCCGCGACCGGGGGGGCCCAGGATTTTTTTTGTTTTTTTTTTTATTTTATTTTTTTTTTATGGGGCGTTCGGCGGCCCATTCGTGCTGCAGGGACGCCCCGTGATGGCGTTCGTTGGCCATTCGGTGTTTTGCGGACCACTGGCCGAGCTTTTCTGCCGCGAGAGCGTGCCTATCACACGAGCGCCTAATTTTCTCGCAGGGCTGCGTGGTGATGCAGGGTGTGTATGTTATGCTCCATACTCTGTCCATGTCCCTTGTCCGTCGCAGGACGCTGCCCAGACAGTGTACTTGCCTTGCTGTCGAACCCGATGACGAGGCGCCGCTGCGAACGCGGTTGCTCACCGCACAGCCTTCGGGTGGCGAAAGTGACAGACGGCGAAATGAACCTCGAGCGCCATCCCAAGGGCCCCAGAGCTCAGTAAACTACAGACTGAACCTCTCGCCAAACATTGCCCCGCCGCTGTTGTGTACCTGGGGGGTCAGGGATGTTATCTCCTTCTCGCTCTCTCACCGTTCCTCTGTCCTGGCACCATAGCGCCTTCCCGACATTCCCCTGGCGCACGGTTGTGATCCCTGCAGTAACGCGACAAGTTTTGTCTTGCCGAGTCCGGTCTCATAGGCTGGCTAGTAAGGCACATGCCATGCCGGCATACCGATCAGTCGCCTTCGTTCTCTCGCTTCATTCTCTGGCTGGCGTGTTTGGACATGGTAGGGGAGGACAGTCTCAGGGGGGGATCGGTGTCCTTCACGTCCGCCATTCCACCTCTTTCATCCCTTCGTTCGGCCGACCCCGCTGTGCTCGAGGCACGGTGCCGTTTTCTGCCTGCGCGCATCGGCGCACGTGCTTCCTGGCGCTTCAGGCGGAAAGTCGCCCTGCAGCCTGCCAAAGAACAAGAAAGGTGGATATGGGAAGGGGATGGGATGGAAAGGGTCGGCCACGCGTAGGTGGGGGTGGGGGGAGGTGGGAAGGCTTCTTAGAAACACCCCTGCTTCTTAGAAGGTGCGGGCCGTCTCTGTAGATGTGAGGCCCGCGCCTTCTAAGAAACAGTCTCCTCCTAAGAAGCCTTCCCCCTCCTCCTCCTCCTCCTCCTCCCCCTCCTCCCCCTCCTCCTCCTCCTCCTCCTCCTCCTCCTCCTCCTCCTCCTCCTCCTCCTCCTCCTCCTCTACCCTCCTCTGCGCGCCGCCGAAGGGGGACGGGATGGGAAGGGCTCGCGGGGCAGCCCTTGGGCAGCCCCCGGGGAGGCGGAGGCGCGGGCCCACGGGGCCAGCGCTGAGGGCGGCCGCCAACCTCGGACGGAGGGGCACGCGGGCCGCGCGTCACGGTCCGCGCCGCGGGATCGGCACCCTTGAGAGGAGGAGGAGGAGGAGGAGGAGGAGGAGGAGGAGGAGGAGGAGGAGGAGGAGGAGGAGCTGCCCATCGGTCGCTGAAAGCAGATGTTTCTGGATCCCCAGATCCCCATCCACTTCAAGCGCTTTCCCACTTGAAACGCCGATCTGCTTTTGCTGCGTTTCGTTGCACTTTGGGCAGGCCCGAGCCCAATCTACTTTATCCGCCTTCCTACTTCATTTTTCTACCTACTTCTTCCAACCGATGGGTACCGATGCCGCTGCCTTCCCTCGTTTTCCCCTTGTTGGGCCTCATGGGAGGCCCTCGTCGCCACCGCTGGATTCGCTTCGAGATTCTGGTGCCCCGGGGGAGGTCTGGCTTGGTTACCCCCTTTTCCGCTGGCCCAGCAGTCCGAAAGCGTTCGAGGTTGAAGTCATGCTACGGGCGGTCATGATAATGCTCCTACACTCTCTGATGTTCCACTCGGGCCACAATAACGAGAGCCGCTACAGCCGCCAGAAATCCTGACACGCATCGTGAGCCACCCGTATCATGACACCGTTCTCGTCCCATGAGAATCAGCCACGCGCAGAGGGGGGTGGGGGTGGGGGGAGGGCTTCTTAGAAGCACCCCTGCTTAGAGGGCGCGGGCCTTCTCTGTACATGTAGGGCCGGAGCCTTCTAAGAATCAGCCCCCTGCTAAGAAGCCCTCCCCTCTCCCCCCTGCCCCCCCCTCTGCGCGTCGCCAATAAGAGTAAGCCCCCCGACGATCAGGCGGTCTGCGCCGCGCGGGGCATCCCCCCCCCCCAATAGGAGGCCTTTTGTTTGTTTCCTCCTCATGGATCGCGTTCTCGGTTCCAAGAGGCTCAGGATTCCCAACCATCCTGTGGTGTCGGGTCCTCGTTTTGAAAGACGGTCCCCGCGTTCCCTCCGTTCTCCCTCCCTCCTCCCCCTCCCCCTCTCCTCTTCCCTCCCTGCGTTTCACCCACCCAGTATACAGCGTTTCGTGGCCCCATAGGGAGCTCCACCGAAGTCCCCGGTGCCACCGTCCGCAGGCGTCCCGGAACGCCCAATTTGGCATTTTCACCCATCCAGTACAGCGCTTCGTGGCCCCATGGGGAGCTTCACCGAAGCCCCCAGTGCGACCGCCCGCATGCGTCCCACAAATCCGATTTGGCATTTTCGCCCACCCAATACAGCGCTTCGTGGCCCCATAGGGAGCTCCACCGACGGCCCCAGTTCTACCGCCTGCATGCCTTTCCCCCCCATCCAGTGCAGCGCTTGGTGGCACCATTGGGAGCTTCACCGAAGCCCCCAGTGGGACCGCCCGCATGCGCCCCACACACGTAATTTGGTATTTTCACCCACCTAGTACAGCGCTTCGTGGCTCCATACGGCGCTCCACCGACGGCCCCAGTGCTACCGCCCGCATGCGTCACCCCCACCCAGTTCAGCGCTCCTTTACCCCATAGGGAGCTTCACCAAGAACATATTCACAATTGCGGTACCCACAACTGCATATTGTTGGGTCTTTCGCCAGGATATTTTTTCTGGCAGTGCGGGCTGCAGGAACGAGAGCCGCTACATCCGTCGGAAATCCTATGAAGAGTAAGTCCCCCGACGACAGGCGGTGAGCACCGCATGGGACATCCGATGTATTGCCAGATCGGAGTATGTCGATGCAGAAAAGATCTCGATCCTGAGAAGCTGAGAGCTCTGGCTCTCTGCTGGGACCAACCGCTTGACCCCCTTCCCCCTCTCCCAGGCGGCGCGCGGGGGGGGGCGCCCTTTCCCAGGGCTCTCCGAGAGGAGAGGCGGGCGCTGCCGCGGCACCGCGTGGGACAGCTTCCCAATAGGAAGCCTTATGTTCGTATCATCCTCCTCCTCCTCCTCCTCCTCCTCCTCCTCCTCCTGCTCCTCCGCCTCCTCCTCCTCCTCCGCCTCCTCCTCCTCCTGCTCCTCCGCCTCCTCCTCCTCCTCCTCCGCCTCCTCCTCCTCCTCCTCCTCCTCCTCCTCCTCCTCCCCCTCCTACTCCTCCTCCGCGTTCTCAGTTCCAACAGGGTCAGGAATGGCAGCTCGCGGGGGGCCCTTCCCAGGGCTCTTTTGGGGAGAGGCGCGGGCGTTGCCGTGCGCCGTCAGCTCTTTTGTTGTCCGGAGCAGTCGGGCTGCTGCCGCCCTGGAACAAACAGCGGGTGCGCCCTCAAACAAGCGAGGGGACCTGCTTGCTAGCGCGTGGGGGGGTGAGGAGCCAGACGGAGCAAGGGATGGGCCTGCTTTCCACCACCACCACCAGAGGCTGGAGGGGGGGAGGAGGTGGAGGATGAGGAGGAGGAGGAGGAAGAAGAGAAGGAGGAGGAGGTGGAGGAGGAGGAGGAGGACGAGGAGGAGAAAGAGGACCACTCTCCCTCCTACTTCTTCTGGTGGCAGTGGAAAGACAAGCCCACCGTCAAGGGATGGGCCGAGAGGGAGGCCGGAGGGAGCGAACGGGGCGGCCAGAGTATGCAGAGCCGGCGGCGGCCCGCGGGGGGGTCCTGGCAGGCTCCAGCAGGGCGCTGGCCATGACGGACGCCACCCAGTTCGCGGAGGCCGACAAGACGCTCAGCATGGGGAGGGGGCGGGCTTGGGCACGCCACAGAACTACATACACAGACGCCCTCCAGTGGAGTGTCCCTGGGCCTCGGGGGAGGGCGGCGGTGTACAGATTTCCATGGAGGGCCAGCGAGTGTGTATACGCCGCGACCCTGCACGCAAGATTCGTCGGAGGGTGTCTATGTGTATAGATTTGTTCGTGGCGTGTTGGGGGGGACGCAGACCACGCCGCGTCGTGCAGCGAGATTCGCCGGGAGGTTTTTTGGAGCCGCTACTGTCGGCCTATCCGGGGGGGGGGGCGCTTGCCGGGCCCCGGGGCTGCCAGACAAGGCTCTTGGGATGAGGGGCCAGTCTCGGCGGGTCGTAGGTCCCGACGTCATGCTTGTTGTTCCGAATGTCGACCTCAGAAATCTCAACCCATCCCCTGGGATCGGCTTTCAATCTCGAGTCGTGCGTTGTAGCTCCCGCAGGTGGGGAAAGATTCCCCAGAAACCGAACATTGCGGGAACAGCTTCGTTGTTATTGTTTCATGACTCGAGGGGCCTTGGGGAAGGGGTCGGAGCCTGCGCGGGTGTACGCGTCGGGGGTCGCGGATTCGAGGCTAGAGGGAGCTCTTCGCAGTCCCGGGCCCCGCGGGAGGGCCTCGTCTGGCCCAGGGCCCGGGTTCGGGGGCCGTCAAACATCGGCACGGGATGGAAAAATTGATAGGATGGACCCCAGGGGTGTCAGGAGCGTCGAATGATGAGGAGTGCGTCCTTGTTTCTCGCACTGCACTCCTCGACTTGCCGCCACTCTCCCCCTCTCCCCTCGCCCCCTCCCCTCGCGACCCACCGCGGGTGACCCAGTTGATCCTCTGTGGGTGAACCTTTGGTCCCCATGCCGCGTGATTTGACCAGGCCGCACGCGTTCGCCCGCTCGACTGCCTGGGGCCATGCCACCGCGCGCGTGACCGCGACGCCAAAATGTGTGTGTGTGTGTGTGTGTGCGTGCGTGCGTGTGTGTGTGTGTGTGTGAGTGCGTGCGTGCGTGCGTGCGCGTGCGCGTGCGCGTGCGCGTGCGCGTGCGCGTGCGCGTGCGCGTGCGCGTGCGCGTGCGCGTGCGCGTGCGCGTGCGCGTGCGCGTGCGCGTGCGCGTGCGCGTGCGCGTGCGCGTGCGCGTGCGCGTGCGTGCGTACGTGCCTGCGTGCCTGCGTGCCTGCGTGCGTGCGTGCGTGCGTGCGTGCGTGCACGCGTGCACGCGTGCGTGCGTGCCTGCGTGTGGCTATCATGGCCGGGGCCACGACGTCTGCCCAGGTGTCGTGCCCCCGCCTCTTATTCTCGGTGCGTCCCCCTGGCCTCCCCCCCCCCCCTGGCCCGCGCACGTGCCTCGGGCCAGAATGCGCGCGCGCCGTCTTGGACTCCCCCTCCCCCCCTTTTACTCGCATCCGGGAGGTGTCCAGATCGGAGGGCGCTGGTTCCATGGCAGGCACCGGCAGGAGCAGCGCGAAGGGTTCCCAGCGCGCACTCCTCCCAACAGCGCAGGGCCTCTCCGCCCCCCCCGCCGCACGCATCCCAGGGCGCCGCCCCCCTCCTCCTCTTCCTCCTTCTCTCGTCCTCCTCCTCCTCCTCCTCCTCCTCCACCTCCTCCTCCTCCTCCTCCTCCTCCTCCTCCTCCTCCTCCCCCTCCGTCGCGCCAGGCCGCGGGCCGTTTCTGGGACCCTCTCGCCTGGTTGGTTCGTGGCGCGTCCTGGGTGCCGAGCAGTGTTTTTTCCTTGAGGCCATGGCGTCTCGACTCTTTCGAGTCGGGCGTTCTTGGCCCCGCTTCGGGCCCTGGGACCCGCACAGATCGACCCATCTCGAGAAAGTGCACAGAAATTTGGATGGGGTCTAGGACTCTGGTCGTGATGTTTCACAATGTTGGATCATGTTCGCGTCGTCGGATCTCAGGGTGGGGCGTTATTGGATGCTCCTGTTGCAGTCTTGCTGCCCGTCTTGGGGCTTCTTGTGTGCCGGGATCCTGCAGGATGCCCTCCGGGAGGACCTCCGATCTTCCTCCTGTCTTTAAGAGGTGAGGCTAGTCCGGTGAGCAGGGAGGCACTCCCCAGTACTGGAGCGGGGAGTGTGCGGGAGCCCTCTCCGCTCGGGGAGGCCCGGCAGCTCGATCTGGCATTCGATATCCGCTCCATTGTTGTCGGGCCGAACGAAAGGGGGGGATAGGGAAAGGGGGGGTTACGAAATCTGCTGCATGCAGCTGGTTTCGGCCCCGCCGCCGGGCCCATTCCTCGATACATGGGTGCCTCCCGGCGCCAGGAGGTGCTGGGAAAGTCAGCTACGTGAGCTGATTCTCACCCCCCCCCTATGCTGTCCCCCCCTTTCGCCCAGCCCGATCTTGGCGCCCGATCTTCGCCCGAGTGTCCGAATCGCGTGCAGAGGGCGGAGGAGAGCTTGGCGGACGGCCTGCAGCTTTTATTTCCCCCTCGGCGCGAGTGCAATGTTCTCCTGGAGGAGTTGCAGGGAGTGAGGGCGCATTCCTCGGTATGGGTCGGAGGTTGATAGACCTCCTACCCCGACACGCCGATTAGTAGATTGGCCGTTTTCGGTTCGCGAGAGGGCGTTGCGGCCGTTGTTTTTGCGGGTCCAGGTCCGTTGGTTTCGGTCCTAGACCGTTTTCACTAAAGGGTGGTTTACGAAAGAGAGGTTTGTCCACCGCCGAATGGGCGCCTTTGTCGGGACAGAACCTCGCCATCACGAGCGTCAAACCTGCACCTTGTGGGTATACAGCTGCACGTGCGATGGCAGCATCTGCAGTGCGGACACGAGGGGGTCAAGGGTCGAGGCGGCGCTCGTGCGTGCGCGCGCACGTGTCTTGGATCCCTGGGGCCTTCTCCCAGATCCAGCCTGTCATTCGTAGTTGTTCTGTTGGCGACCCAGGGGCCTGGGGAGGGCCCCGTGAGGCCGAAAGGTGTCAAACGAAATTCAGGGCCCGACTCGTTCCGCTCATGGCTCGTTTCCTTCACGGCGCGCGTGTCCAGATTAGCTGACATTCTCCTGCCTTCGTCGGGCATGTCCCTCCACAGGAGGAATAGTCAACAGCAGTCAGACAGAAATTTGTACGGGGACGATGTTCCGAGTGTTTTGGAGTAGTTTCTTCCAAATGGTGCGGGGACCGATTTTCCGACCGATTCTTCCTCCAAAGTCCGCCTGTAGGAGGGCGTTGCCGACCCAACCCTTGCCTGGGAGGAGCCGGACCGCTCACCAGCTCTACCTGGAGGACGGGGGGGGGGGGGGCGCGCAGCCAAAGAAAGGGCGGGGCGAGGGGGGGCGGCCTTCTGGGCAGGGGGCCTCTGCAGAAGGGTCGTCTGCCCCCCGTCATGCAGTGGAGGCCCATGCCAAGAAATACCCTGCTCGCCTCCAGGGTGCCTCCTCCTCCTCCTCCTCCTCCTCCTCCTCCTCCCTCCTTGCTTGCCTCCCTCCTTGCTTGCCTCCAGGGTGCCCTGGGTTTCTTGGGTTTCGATGGTTTTGTGATGGAGAGCGCGACGCTCCCGCACCAAGAATCCATGGGCGTCCTGGGGTCTCAGGGTTTGGGGTTTCTCGTGGAAGGCTCTCCTTGTGGTCGGGCCTCCACTGTAGGGGGAGGGGGGAGGGCGAAACAAAAAGGGCCCCGAAGGCGCCCCGTAGGCCCCCTCTTGGGGCCAGCACGGGAAGGGCCCTTGGAGGGCCTTGTTCTCCACCCTCCCAGTCCCGGACCCCCGACATCGAATGTTCTCGCAGCGTCCAGAGGTCTGGACCCCCTCCTCGGGACCGGTGTTGCCTCCGGAGTCGTGCCTTGTGGACTGGCCTCCGCCGTGCACGCGAGGAAGCGTCAAGCACGGATCGAGGCGCGTGGAGCAGCGGTCCGAAGCCAGTTTGGCTCAAGTGAGTTTGGCTTAAGCGAGCTTCGCGGGCTAGCTGCATATAGCATGCGCGAGCGTTGACAATTGGCGTCCCCAGTCTGGCACGATGATGTCAGTGTTGGCATCCTGGGCCTGCCTCGCCCCTGCTGCTGCGAGTACGGTGACTGTCAAAACACCCCTGGGGAATGTGCACGGTAGCTTTGACGCCACGACGGGAGTATCTTCGTTCAAGGGCATCCCTTATGCTCTATCCCCGACAGGAGCTAATCGCTTCGCCAATCCCGAGCCATGGACGCAGAACTACGCAGCAGAAGGCTTGCGGGCCGATTCGTTTGGCTCTCGATGCGTGTCTGCCGCCCAGGCCGGGTCTGAGGATTGTCTGTTCATGAACATTTACACGCCTGTTTCGCAACCATCGCTTGCAGATTCGATGCCTATTCTTTTCTTCATCCATGGCGGGGCGTTTGTCGGGGGAGCTGGCTCGGATTACGATGGAACCAACCTTGCTACGAAGCATCATGCTGTTGTTGTCACAATAAACTATCGCCTTGGATCTTTCGGGTGGGCATTACTCGCCGACAGCATGGGTAACTTTGGCTTGAAGGACCAGCGGGAAGGCCTGCGCTTCATGCAGCGGTCTGGGTACATCTCGGCGTTTGGCGGCGATATTGCACGTCTAATGATATTTGGGGAAAGTGCAGGTGCCATATCAGTCGTAATGCACATGGTAGCCCCAAGAAGTTTTGGGATGTTCACCAGCGCGCTATTCGAGTCTGGATTTCCGTCTGCCAAAATTAACAACATCTCGCTGGCTCAGGGCTCGAATTTCTCGCGAGCGGCAGGTTGTGATCAGTCGGCAGACAGGATCGCTTGTCTCGTTTCCAAGACAACAAAGGAGCTGGCAGATGCGGAGTCAAGCACCAGCCCGCCGAACTCCAATCTGTTTGCAACCCTCGGTTGGGGGCCGACCGTTGACAATGACGAGTTTACGGAAGATCCCGTGCTTCTGTTTGTACAAGGCAGACATGCACAAGTACCCGTTGTGGGGGGTAGCAACACCAATGAAGGAGATGTGTTTGTGTATCCGTCTTACCCCACTGGGATGGACAGCGACGCGTATAAGTTGTTCGTCCGCGAGTTTCTCAGCAATGGACGCGTTTTCAACGAGACATTGTACGATATGGCGTTGCAGTTGTACCCCCCAGGCGCAGACAACAGAGCGACGGCAAGCAGGCTTGTCGCAGACGGGACCTTTGTTTGCGGGGCCAAGCTTGTTGTGCAACATTCAAGCCAGTCTTTCTTGTACCATTTCGCTTACCGTGGTCTCCAACCCGCCGTATACCACGGCGCTGAGTTGCCTTTTGTGTTTAACAGCGCTTCCTCGCTGTTTGGTCGAAGGAGTTTGGCGGAGACTATGGGCGAGTTGTGGGTATCTTTCGCCAAAACGGGTCGGCCAGGATCCGAGAAAGAGTGGCCACGATATTCAAATTCCACGGACAGCAATATCGTGTTTGACATCGTTGGGTTCAAGCTTAGCTTGACCGTCGAGACTGGTCGGAGATTGAAGTTTTGCAACCTGTGGTTGCAAGAGGGCGTCGGCGCGGGATACCGCATTCCGCTTCTGCACCGCCCCGTTCAGTATGCAAAGTTGAATCGATCCGAGGTGTTTGTGTGAGCAGGTTTTCTGGCTGAAGCGATTGTTGCAGATAAGGTGTGTTGTATGTGGCGCTGCCCCTGCCACCTCGAGCCATGTCGATAACAGCCCGAATCAAAGCAACAACTGCACACAAACAAAACCCACTGGGAATACATCTTACACATTTGCACACAGACATTGTTGGTACGCGCGGATCGCGCGCCCTATCCCCAGGGCTATTCAAAGAGTCGCCGAAGGAGGGAGAGGCAATTGCCCGCGCCTCCTCTCCCTGCCCGCCTTCCTCTGGAGCCCCGACCGCTCGAGGGAGCCGCGGGGGCCAGCGGCGATAGGTTTAGGGCCCATGTGTCTCAGGAGGGAAAACAACACGCAGACACAATGAATCGTCGACTCCCCAGATAATATGGGAACATATGGGCAGTGGGGCGGGGAGACAAAAACCCACAACATGTGGGACAAGATCGGGAATCTTGTTATTCGTGTGTATTCATGTGTGTGTGTGTCCCAGGGCCCCTTCAGTGTCCATCCAGAGTCTTGCCCGCTCGAGAGATCCAGTAGTCCACGAGGAGCAGCGACAAAGAAGAGGCGCGTGGAGCAGCGGCGGGCACCGCTCCCAGAAGCACGCGCGAGACTCGGCCGCGCGCCGCCGCCGAGGCAGGCGGCGCGGGGCCCGACCCGTCGGTCGTTGAAAGTAGGCGCGTTGTGTTCAGGAGGAGGCGGAGGAGGAGGAGGAGGAGGAGGAGGAGGAGGAGGAGGAGGCGGAGGAGGAGGAGGAGGAGGAGGAGGGGGGGGAGGAGGAGGGGGAGGAGGGGGAGGAGGGGGAGGAGGAGGAGGAGGAGGAGGAGGAGGGGATTCCAAGATCCCAATCTGCTTTCAGCGCCTTCCTGCTTCCAGGGTCGAGCGGTGTTACCTCCTCCCTCCTCTTGGTCAGGGGGCGGGCGGAAGCCCCATGTGCTTCCAGCGCCTTCCTACTTCCACGCGGTCGCAAGCATGGATCAAGGGGGCGTGGGTTAGCGATGGGTCCCGTTTCCATGGGGAATCGCGGACTTCCGCCGCCGAGCGACGCGGCACCGGCCGCATTCTGGGGAGGGCACCTCCCCCGCTCCATGGATTTGGCCACCGCGCGCCAAATCCATGGATCGCTAATCCATGTTTGCGCGTCTCCGATACTTCATGTTTCTACCTACTTTTTCCGACCGACGGGCAACCCGCGACCACGTGCCAGATCCACGAAGTTGTGCCTACAGGTTTCGGAGAGGGGACATCTCTGGATCCCCAGATCCAGCTCTACCTTCGGCGCCTTCCTACAACAACAGGTGCCGATCGGTTTTCCCTTTTCCCCTCCCCCTCGGGGTGTGGGAGGAAGCCCAGACTATACTTTCTACGCCATCCTAATTCATGTTCTACCTTGGAGCCCGCTGGGAACTCTGAGGTGGCCCAGCATTGGCTCCAGCGAGCAGAAAGAGGGGGGGAGAGGTTTGAGGTTCCGGGCTTGAGGAGACTTCTCTTCATCTGAGGGCCGTTTCCAGGCCCCGGGACCATCAAACGCGGGCCCGGGGTGAAACATTACCCCGATGGACCCTGGGAGGAGTCTGGGGCAGATCTTGAACGCGCTTGCCCTCATCTCCCCTCCCCGACCGAGTCTCTCGAGGTCCATCCAATTCCGAGCTCTGGCCCCCTCCAATGTCTACCCATTTCCGCCGACCGATTGGCACGGTCGGACCGAGGTATGAGGTCGAAGTCGGTTCGTGGAGGTACCTTCATGTTCTTCGTCATTGTTGGATGTTCTTGTGCCTCCTGGGGCAGTGCCCTCCAGGGATCTTCTTGTTTGGGGTGCTTTGGCCGGCGGATGGTCTCATTGTTTGGAATCGAAGCAGAAAACATACCAAACGTTGATGTTCGTGACGTGGTTTGTGTCCTCTTCAATCGAAGCATGTTCTTCTGCCCCAGGTCCGACCGTCATCCATGTCAGCGCTGGCCACCCGGACATCTCTCAGGAGGGGGAAAAATCACACAGACACAAGTAATCGTCGATTCCCAGAAAATATGGGACATATGGGAAGTGGGGGAAACACAACAGTCCAGAAAATATAGGAAAAGATGAGGCATCTGCTTATGTGTGTGTATTTACGTGTGTGTGTGTCGTGGGGCCCCGTCACTCTCAGGAGGCCATATGTGCAGCGGGGGGGCTCCAGAGAGGCGGCTCGCCCGCCCCTGGAGTGGGCGGCCTCCCTCGGCCTGCCGGGTGCTCCGCGGCCGCGGCTGCCGCGGCAGGACCACCTGACGCGGCTGAGCGAGGACATCTCGTCCACCACCAAGAGGCTGGAGCTGGAGAAGCGCAGGCTGAACAAGCTGGAGCAGGAGCGCGGAGGGGAGGGAAGAGGAGGGGCGGCCTGCGGGGGTCTGGGAGGGGAGTGCATCGAGGTTCTGGGGGGCGCTGGGAAATGGGCGGCGGACGAGGGGCAACGGGAGGAGGAGCGAGATGAAGAGGAGGAGGAGGAGGAGGAGAAGGAGGAGGCTGAGGAGGATTGAGCACGATAAGGAGGGCAACAGAAAACCGAAAACCATGCCACGGGGAGGAGGAGGAGTATGATGAAGGGGAGAAGGCCGTTCTGCTTGGGAGAGGAGCAGGAGGTGGAGGAGGAATGGGAGGGTGATGCAGAAGGGGCTGAGGATGAGTCAGGGGCCGACGAGGGCGAGGGAGGAGGCAGATGAGGACGAGCAGGGGGTGGCAGAGGAGGGAGCGGGGACGGGATGGGGAGTCCGAAAACGAGGAGGGGGCGGGTGCTGGCGCGGGGGAGGGGGATGAGGGCGAGGGAGGAGGAGAAGGAGGAGGAGGCGATGGCGGAGGAGGGAGAAGGGTAGGCGGAGAGGGCATAAAGGGGGTAAACCAGGCGATGAAAGAAGGGGACGGGGGCCTGTTGTTGTCCGCCCAGGTGCCTCCCCCCCCTCCCCGCGCAGGACGTCGAGCGCACCCGCCTGGAGCACCAGGAGAAGGTTCTCAGGCTCCCGCCGAAGGGCGTGAAGAAGGACGACAAGGCTGGCCTCTCGCCCTGCCTGGGTGCTGGCCCCTCGCGCTGGCTCTGTGGGTTATGGGAGGAGGAGGAGGAGGAGGAGGAGGAGAAAGAGGAGGAGGAGGAGGAGGAGGAGGAGGAGGAGGAGGAGGAGAAAGGGAGGGAGGAGGAGGAGGAGGAGGAGGAGGAGGAGGAGGAGGAGGGGAGGAGGAGGAGGAGGAGGAGGAGGAGGAGGAGGAGGAGGGGGGGCGAGAACCCTGACTTTCCAGGAGGGCTGAGCAGATCCTGCCGATGTTTTCAGGCGGTCCAGGTGCGCATATGTCAGGTCTGGAGGGCTATCCTTTTGAGCACTCTGGAAGGTCAGGGCAAGTAGGCGCAGAGAGAAAGCCGCCTCCCTGCTGTGCCCTGAAGAGGCCCCCCTCGGATTCACGAGGGGCCCGCAAGGTGCACGCCTCTCCCCGCCCAAACAGCTGAAGTCGGGCCTGTCCCTCTACAGGGGGAATGTTCAAAAATTGTCCAAAAATAGCCTGGGGGCGAATTTCCTGGCAAAATGGGCCATTTTTGAATAATATGTGTGGTGTGGCGTCCTTTTTTTGGTTTGTCGAAACTCGGCCTGTCGGGGGACATGCCCGACCCAACACTCATCGCCCCCCCCATTCGGCAGCGCCCGATGGCCGGGGGAGCTCTCCTCGTTGAAGGCGCCCGCCGGCGGGCCGCCTTCGGCCTCCTGCCTTCGCCGGAGGCGTCCTTGCCCGGCGGTGCAGGATGCCGGGCGTCCGCTTGGCAGTGCCAGTTCACCGGGGCGTCAGGGAACCGCGGGGGGGGGGGACACCAAGGACGCCCTCGAGGGCGCGAATCGGGTATAGCCAGGACCCCAGGGACGGGCACCCGGTTAGTAGTAGGGCCCCGGAGCCCCTAAATTAGCCAGAATCACTAAACCAGGTCTGCCGTAGCTGGTGTTTTTGAACGGGGCGCGGGGGGGGCGTCCCCCAGTACACATCCCTAAACCAGGTCCCACTAGACCCAGTTCTGCCAACGCCCGAGCGAAGCTGTTCGCGCTTCGCGGTTCGGCTCCGCGTCCTCCTAGTCTTCCTCTTCCCCTCGGGGGCCGCGCGAGAGCGTGGTGTTATCAGCGCGGCGCGAGGCGCGAAGTTAGGTGCCTTTTGTGGGATGCTGGGCGTCGGCCTGGCAGTGCCAGCTTCACGGGCTGTCAGGGATCCGCTTGGGGGGTCACGCGGGAGGGGGCCGCGTTCGGGGGGCTAGCTGAACGCTGCGTTGGGCCTGATGTTGGCTTCTAGGGGAGCCTCCCAGGGGTCGCTTGGGGTATGGGCCTCCTGGGTCTCTTTCGGTTCCTCTTGGGGCCCTCTAGTGTGTCTGGCGCCTTTGGTGGCTGTCTGCGGTACGGCCGTGTTCTTACATGGTCCATCGGTGCAGCGGCTGAATGCAGCCCCCTCCAGAAATGGCATGCCCTTCCAAGGATTCCTTGCATCAACGGATCATGTCGGCCTTGACCAAGCAACCTCGGTGGCCAACAGTTCTCATGCACGTGCACCCATGCCCTTCGTGTCTTCACGGCGGACCCCGACCGTACCACGTAGCGCACCCGACTTGAGCCTTGAAGGTCGGATACCTCTTGGAGCAGAAGAACAGGTACGGTGGGCGTGCTTTCCATCACCACCACCGCCATAACCATAAGTAGGAGGGGGAGGGGGTCCTCCTCCTCCTCCTCCTCTTCTGCCTCCTCCTCCTCTTCTTCCTCAGCCCATTTAGCTCCTCTTTTGCCGGGCATTCCTGTCACCGTAACCACATACATACTCGCGCACATGGCAACTGGGGGGTTGAGCACTCGCTCTTCACTCGCACGTGCATCATGGTCGCTCACACTTTTTTATGTCTCTTCCTACAACTGTGTCAGCATGCAGCAGCACGACAGGTTCCAGGACATATGCCAGACACTTCGCACAAGCACCATCCTTATTCAAGGCACACGGTGGCGCGTTCATGATCAATATCCATGTGATACGCACACGTCTCCCGAATACCATCAGATTCACTTTGGTTATCATCCTAAGCAAGGCAATGCCCATACTGGGGTCACTATCGCAATGTCATGCCAAAGGTTCTCGAGATCTAGCATCTTTTCCGTTTCATACCCCAAGCAGCAATACCTATGGGGAAGGGGTGGAGCTATTCGTTGCAAGAACCAGCAGGCCGACTTCACATTCATCTCGGCCTACCTCCCCCCGAACACGGATTCTGCCCGAAGTCGTAGAGACTATCAAAAAACGTTGGCATAGCTTGAAGAATTGTACTCTTCCCTATCGTCACGTACGCTTCCTGTCCTGGGCATCGACTCTAATGAGCACATTGGACTTATCAGGTCTCCAGCGGGCCCCACACTCACTGATGATTCTTGCGCTGGGCCCTTCAATCGCAGTCTGCAGCAACCTCGTACACATCAGTTCATTGAGTTTTTTCTCAAGCATGACTTGATCTTACTCAACACGTTCTACCCAACATTTCCCACACATTACCACGGAGTATCTGGCTCCACTAGTCACATTGACTTCATTATTGTTCCTCGCAGTTTCTATCTGGCACAGCACGTTGTCAAATGCCAGGTTCTTCGCTCGCCCGGCGACCGTTTACAGTTGGTTCCTGACACTCGGAGAGTCGATCATCACCCAGCGTATGCACTTATTGAACATGATCTTCGCTACGAAGGCCAAGAGATGGACAATCATATTCGTTGGGATTTTGACAAGCTGGTTCAATCAGTTATGCAGGGCTCTCAGCGCCAGGAGTTTCTCATCGCTCTCGACAAATGGACTGGAGACCACGTCGACGAACTTGACGCCATATCAAAAAAGAGCTCGTCTGAACAATGAGAATTACTTATCGAACGCGGCCTACTTCCCATTGCAGCTGAACGCTATGGAAAAACACACGCAGCAGGACCTCACTCCCAAGAACGACAAAATCTCTTCGCCGACGACGTGAATTACGCGCTCAATGTCTGCAGTCCCATCGGTTACCACAGCATGGTGTCTTATACTATGTGCTTCAGCACTGGAACAATCTTTCTAAGTTATTTCGTCTTCGTCGGAACATTCGCCGACATCAAGCCGCTCGTATTAAAGAGCTTGACGAACAACGACGCGACGAACTACAAGAGGCTCGGCGCGCAAGACGACTTGCATAAGCATGGCATCTCGCAAGACTCCTTACAGGCAAGCGCATCGGACGACGTCTTCGTAACTGCCATCAAGCGGCTCTCCGCCGCCGCTCAGAAGCCGAATGGTTTGACGAACTTTCCCTACCTGGATCGCAAGGTGGATGTAATTGCATGCGCTTACCTATCGCCCAAGTTCGCCAAGAATTCTTTGACGATAATGATGACACAGTTCATGTTAGCTATCACTGTCACCTACTTGGTGAATATGATTTGAAGCAGGCCAGCTGGTGGATACGCAAAAGTTCTAATCGTCGGTCACCTCCATCTTGGGACGTGCCAAACGAAGTTCGGACAATGATTTTATCGCCACAGTCAGTTTACAAATCAGAATCGCACGGGGTTGGACATGACGCGACCTTGTATGAACCACAGCTGTTCTTGAACCGTCTTCAGCGAATTCTTGATGTGATTCGAGCCACTGGTCATTGCCAATTTCAATTTCATTGCAGTCGAGGGTTCCAGATTCCAAAAAATGACGACGTGCGCATTGTTCACAGCATCTCTCCCTTTTCTAAGGCATATCACAAAGGCCTTCTCCGACGACCTGGCAAGCCCTCCCGACCTCCACCGCGTCGCGCGCTTGCTGTGCCAGGTCGGCGCCGTGAAGAAGCTATATTTATCAAAGTGGTCGTCTCCCATCGGTGTTCTAAGAATGGCATTAGCATTGCTAGTCCTCATTATGACGTGACCAACGCGTTCGCCTCCCCGTCTTACGATTTCATGGACAAAGCTACTCAGTATCTTATGTTACTTCAGCCTGAAGATGCATTTCCTGAGGAAGATGACGAGACGCCAGTCCACGTCGCAGGACAGGACGAACGCCTACTGCGCCAGCATCACAGACATTCCACTTGCGCGTTGCAGACGTCAGATGTTCCTGCTGAGTTCCACCCCCGCAGCGGCGCATTTCAGGGCAGCAGTGTCGCGACGAACGAGTTTCACATACCGTACTGGCAAGTTGTGCAAGCCTGGGGAGAAAAAACGAAAACTCCTCATCTACTTGTTCCATCGCCTCTGACTTCCTGCCGTCATTGACATGTCATTCACCTCCTTCGTCGACGGTTTATGTGAGCAGCACGCCATCACCACGCCCAAGAGCTCATATGACACCCACGCACAGCGCGACAATGATCTGAACACCATATTCGCGGACTACACGGTCGCGCAGCGCACTGGCAAGAGCGAGGCTACCGTATACTTTGTCGGAGCACGTTCACACATTCATCAGCGTACTGTTCACCTACAGCAATCACAATGCAAAGTGCTCAGCGCAGCGCGTTATCTAGGGCCATCTCTTCACCGTCGCAAGTGTTTCTACGTCGAGCGCAATTTACGCATTCAAGCAGCAAACAAAGCTTGTATCATATTCAAGAGGTTCTGGTTCACCAAGACTGACCTTCGGTTTCGTGTTCTGGTATTTCGATGCACTGTTTGGTCTGCATTGCTATCGGGTCTTACGGCATTCGTTCTTACTGATCATGCTTACACCACTTTTGACAAATACATACCATATCAGGGACGCACATTAATGAAGGGCAAAGCCACTCAACCAATTCCCCTCGACGACGGCATGATCAAATACAAGCCTATTCCTTCGATCGGCGTTTGGAGAAACATAGGCATGGTAGACGCACTCACCGAGCTTCGCATTCAGAGACTGAGCTGGTTTCAGAATATACGTTGTCATCATCTCCATCACCAGCTAAATGTAACAGCTATGTTCGGTCGATTTCCTCACGGTACTTCTGAAACTGACATGTCTCATCCGTGGCTGAAGCAGCTGACTACGGATTTCCACGAGTTGTCTTCGCTGGAAGGCGCATATTTCCTCGATGGCGCCCCCCCGTCGCAGCTGATCGCCGCAGGCACCTTGCAGGGAGATTTCTTAGATATCGACGTATCCGGGCTGCGTGCTAAGTTCCTATCTGTTAACATACCCCCCCCCCCCCCCCCCCCCCCCCCCCCCCCTCATCATGATTCTGACACGCTTAATCCTACTGCGTGTTCATGCTCATTGCCAGCGGGTGAATGTTATTGTGGTCTTATACGCACTGACGGTAACATATGCGCGCTCACATTTCCTACCATGAAGGGTCCCAGGCTACATCGCGCACGTGAACAGTCTATGCGTGGCATGATTACTCTAGACTCTATCGCGATGGAAGTTGCATGCCCATGGTGTTCTACACACTTCTCCATCAGAAAAATCGCACAAGATCGTGCGCGACGTAGTTGGCATTATGGAAGATGTATTGTTGATCAGAGCTTTATCCGCAAGGGCTTCGCCCCCTGCCGCCGGCCCCCTCTCTCGGATAATGGGCCATGGAAGAGCTTTGTCATGAGGCTTTGGCGCTGTCGCGCAGCAGTGTCGGAACTTCATGCGAGGCCGATTCGCAATCGGCAAAACCAACTGATCACAAGAGGGGTTACCACACAGGGCGATTGGTAAGACGTGTATGGTTTACGAGCTTGGTTACCGCACCCTGGGATTAAAGGGCCGAGGGGGTACTCGCAGTTTGAGTTGCCACGCCTTGCGATGGATGTCCGTGAGGGGCGGCACCGAATTTCAGAAATGTGGCAAATCCCCTTTCGCTTTTAAACCCTGACCCCGCGGATCTGCGTGAGGGGTGGCACCGAATTTCAGAAATGCGGCAAATCCCTTGTTTTTGGACCCTGACCCCGCGGATCTGCATGAGGGGTGGCACCGAATTTCAGAAATGTGGCAAATCCCTTGTGTTTTTGGACCCTGGCCCCGCGGATCTGCGTGAGGGGTGGCACCGAATTTCAGACATGTGGCACATCCAATGTGTTTTGGGACCCTGGCCCCGCGGATCTGCGTGAGGCGTGGCACCGAATTACAGAAATGTAGCAAATCCCATGTGTTTTGGGATCCTGACCCCGCGGATGTGCGTGAGGGGTGGCACAGAATTTCAGAAATGTGGCAAAGCCTTTGTGTTTTTGGACCCTGACCCCGCGGATCTGCGCGAGGGGTGGCACCGAATTACAGAAATGTGGCAAATCCCTTGTGTTTTTGGACCCTGACCCCGCGGATCTGCGTGAGCGGTGGCACCGAATTTCAGAGATGTGGCAAATCCCATGCGTTTTTGGACCCTGACCCTGCGGATCTGCATGAGGAGTGGCACCGGATTCAGAAATGTGGCAAATCCCGTGTGTTTTTGGACCCTGACCCCGCGGATGTGCGTGAGGGGTGGTGCCGAATTTCAGAAATGCGGCAAATCCCTTGTGTTTTGGGACCCTGGCCCCGCAGATCTGCGCGAGGGGTGTCGATTTCGAGAAATTTCAGACAGCGCGCCCAGGTGGTGCTAAAAAATCTTGTTCGGGCCTCCCCCCCCCTCGCGCGGTCAATCAACTAGTTGCAGTAACCAGCAAGAAGCAGAACTGCAACACTGGAAACTACAAGCTACAACTGGCACTGGAAACTGCGAGCCCGCGCCTACAGCCTGGTGGCCCCACGAGGGGGCCGGCGGATCTCGTCGCCTCCTATTGTATCATATACCACCTACACGTGTGCTATATGTAAGTTATATGGAAACAACTACGAGTGCGACGACATATGCGCGTATAATCATCACATCCGTACTAAGCACCTATCGGGTCCAAGAAGATTTGAGTTCTCCAAGGCAGATACTTTAGCCATATTATCACCGAAGCTTGTGGCACCCGACTCGGACGGAACTCGGACTGGCAGCAGGCGGCTCTCGGCCGCAGACGAAGGAGCGCCGCGTAGGCGCCAGCCAACGCGACCTTCAGGCTCTGGTTCTTTTCATAGCGAAGTTGTGCCTCAGCACTGCTATGTCGTCGAGGATTCTCAGGGCAATCGCGTTGGACAAGTACCAAGTGAGCGAGAACTCAGAGTACTTTGTCCAGGGGGGGAATTCTACCGAGAGTTATGCGGAGGCGGCGAAGCAGTTCGGCAAGGATCAGAAGCAGCAGAAGATCTGGCCCACCCTCATGTCCACGTGTGGAACGCTTGGATCATAGTGGCGAAGACCAAGCTTGGCGAGAAAGATCTGGCCCCTCCGATGCTGAACCATCTGCAGCAGTACGTCGACAAGATGCAGAACAACAGCGTGGACACAGCCCATTACCTCCACAATCTACTGCAGGAAGTACGATATGCCCGCTGCTGCAAAACATACGACAGCAAGATCAAACGCCTCGAAGTCAACGTGAACTCAGGCAGCGACAGCGAGAAGATGCTGAACCAGATGCTAGTACCTCTATGGCTTCGCGAAAAAGCAGTGAAGCTCGAGGGAGTGGCACCGCCTGGAGACCTCGAGCGCAGGATCCAGCACGCGATCGACGAGTTCGAGGCGCAGTGAGGCCAGCACGGGACCGCTCTGTAGAAGCTCTTGCTGCGCCTGATCTTCCAGGCTCCCGCCATCGCCAGCAGAGAGACAGTTCCCTCTCTCGTCCTCCTGGTTCTCCTCCCCCGTCCTAAGTGCGTCCGATTGCGCCCGTCTGTCGTCACGGTTTCAGGCAGCTCGTTTGCAACATGAGCGATCAAAATCGAGATTACAGGGATAAGACTTGTGGTGCGCTCGTGCTACAGGTATGAGTGCACGGCGTTCGCGGCCCTTCATGTTTCGTGCTGATTTTGGGCTTGCGTGCGCTGTCGTCGGTGGGCCTAGCTCGTGTCACCCCCTCTACAGTCGCGCGTCCCTGAGCGTACGAGCCCCTGTTTAAGTCATGTCTACCAGGCTGATTCGACAGGTCTTCGATCGATCGCTCTTGTGAGTTGTTATTATTATTACCTCTTCTTCCTCCTCCTCCTCCTCTTCTGCCCTTTTCTCCTCCTCATCAGGTCAGCGCGCGCGTTCGATGCTCGGAGGTCCTCGCAGACTTCTGGGGCGGGGTGGGCGCCAGAGGCGCCAGCGGCGCCTCTGCGCTGCCCGGGTCTGCGCAGAGCGAGATGGCACCATAACGGCCCAAGCAGCCTCCAAAATGGCCCCATGAGGACCCCAAGCCAGCCCAAAGTGCCTCCGAGGCGCCCGAGATGGCCTCCAAGACGGCCCTGGAGCACCCCGAGAGAGTCCCAAGTCAGATCAGAAAGGTACGGCTTCCGACGGCGTCGGACGGGCCAGGAACGCCTTAAGACGGCCCAGTCGGGGGCGGAAAAGAGGGGGGTGATGACTAGGGGGGTGGATATCATGGCGTGGGCCATGATACTTCCCCAGATCTCATGGCGCCTGTTCTTATTTCATTGCGTCCCAGGCCCCCCCGCTGGGCCGCGCACGTGCCGCCGGTCATGATTTGCACCCCCCTCTTGGACACCCCGTTCATGGCCGCTCCCGACCTAAGGGCCCCACAAGAAGCCCGCAAGCGCCCCCAGGAGGCCCAAGGCCCCCGAGATGTTTCCAAAAGACCCCGGGGGAGGCTCCCGGGAACGCCAGGCGACGGGGCGCGGAGAGGGGGGGGGCCCAGCGCCGATCCTCGGCACGACGGCTCCTCCTCCTCCTCCTCCTCCTCCTCCCTCCTCCTCCTCCTCCTCCTCCTCCTCCTCCTCCTCCTCCTCCTCCTCCTCCTCCTCCTCCTCCTCCTCCTCCTCCTCCTCCTCCTCCTCCTCCTCCTCCTCCTCCTCCTCCTCCTCCTCCTTCGCTCGCGTCGCTAAAAAAACGTAGCGCATGGTTTTTTGCCAACTCTCGGCCTATTTGGAGCCGAACACGGAGAACGACATGAAGACAAACATTCAGAGGAGGTCCGCGCGAATGTCTCGGATCGGCGCCGGACCCCCCTGGCGGCGCCTCCGGCGCTGCCCCTGGCGCGCTCCGCGCGCCGTGGACGGGGGTCCAGCGCCGGTCCGAGAAATCCGCGCGGACCTCCGAGTTTTATGTATTCATGTCAATCTTCGTTCCCCTGAGAACAGCGACGGCAGTTCCCGTCCATTTCGAGCATGACGCGTTGGTGGTGTTGATGGTGTTGGACCACTTGGGCAGTTGGGCATCGTACCAGTTTATTCCGTGTACCCATTTCGGGTGTGCGAGGACCCTAGACTTACGCGCGGACCTCCAAAAGGGTATGCTAGTGCAGGCGTGCAGGTATTACACTTCCTCCTCCTCCTCCGTATTATATCTTCTCTTCCGAGAGTGAGAGAGAGAGAGAGAGACAGAGAGAAAGAGCGAGATGAGATCAAGGTGACAGGCTGGAGGTCAGTCAGGGTAGGCATTTGATCTCAATCCCCCCCAACCTCCTTATCGCCCGCATGGCGGTCGTATAGGTATTATACCTTCTCTTTCTCTTCCTCCTCACGTTTCTTTTCCCCTCCTTGCTTTCGAGCCCCCCCCAGGAGAAGGCCAAGAAGGAGCAGAAGGTCGAGTCCGTGCGCACGCTGGAGCACAGGCGGCCGCCTGGCCTGCGTCCACGGCCTCCGCCTCCCATCCAGGGGGCTCCTCAGACAGGTACCGTCCTCCCCCAGGGCACTTTCGGTCCCCCCGTTCCTTCCTCGTCTTTCCTCTTGCCCTGCGATCTGGGCGCCTCCGCTTTCTTGTGCACCGAGCGTTCTCGCCCAGCTTGGGCCACAGGAGCACCTCAGATCGATCCAGGTCGAACATGTTATCCCAGAGTGAGGGGGGACCCGGGCTCCTCCCGTGCGTTGTCGTTCCTCTTCCCCTGCGATCTGGGCGTTTCAGCTTTTCTGTTCACCGAGCGTGTTCGCCCAGCTTCGGGCCCCGGGACCACCACAGATCGCGATCCAGCTCGAACATATCCCAGAGTGATGGGGTTCCCAGGGCTACCCTCGTGATTTTGTTTGCGAGATTGCCATGTTTCGAAGCGTCGGATCTCGGAACCCTGTCCTTGTTCCCTCCCACACTACCCGTCGGTCGTTGAAAGTAGGTATTCTGGATTCCCAGATTCCGATCTATTTCAAGCGCCTTCCTACTTCAAGGATCTAGTGGCTTCTCCTTTTCCGTCCTCTACAGGGGGCGGGCGGACACCCAACCCACTTTCAACGCCTTCCTACGCCGTGCTTCTACCTGCTTCTTCCGACCGATGGGTGCGCATTCTCCCTCCATGCTGAGGAAGGACCGCGAAGGTGCGTCGCAGAGGCTTCTGGCATTCGGCACTGGGAGCGAGCAGCACGGCCCGTTGTGTGGGACACCAGCACGAGCAGGGCACGAGCGGGCATGAAGCACCCGAGCAGGCCCGGGCAGGGCCCCGCCATCCATTACCAGCCTCGAACGTATCCCTATCCCTAAGATTGACACGCCAAAAAGCGATGACAATCTTAGGGATGCGTCCTCAAAAAATAAGGGAATCCCTAAGATTGGCATCGTGACGAGGAGATGCCCAGCATAGGGATAGGGATATGTTCCAGGCTGGTAAATCCATCCTCCATCCGCGTCCCTCCATGCCTGTTCTCGCCTGCCTGCTCCCTTCCTCCGTGGTCCCCCTCTCCACCCTATTCTCGCTCCCCCCCCCTCTCCCTCCTCCCTCCCCTCGTCCCTCCTTGCTCCCTCAGGTCCTCCACGGCCCACCAATGACTCCTTCCTCCTTCTTCCTGCCGCCTTGCTCGTTCGGCCCCTCCTGTAGTGCGCTTTCTTTTGCGAGTGGTGCACGAGCGTTCTGCGCAGTGCGCTGCACGTGGTGTAGCACGAGAGCCAGGCACCCCCGTGGCCGCACCCTTTCGGGGCTCCGAGGCTCAGGGGGATGGAGATGCGGTGCTGGCACGCAAGCTCAGCGATGGGCTAATTTTCCACCACCACTACCACAGGCAGCAAGGGGGAGAAGGGAGGATGGGGAGGTGCTCCTCCTCTTGTTCCTCCTCCTCCTCCTCCTTCTCTTCCTCCTTCTCCTTCTCCCCTCTCCTACCTGTGGTAGTGGTGGTGGAACATCAGCCCATCACTCAGCTCCTCTCGTCCTTGTTTGTTCCTCGTCCCTGACGGGCTCCCTGCCGAGCCAAAAAAAACAAAACAGCATCCGAGCCGATGGGCTTCCTGGGGACAGGCGCCCGAAGAGCACCCACGATCAGGGCTGGACCTCAATGCTGTTTTGCTGGACTTCGGCTGTGATTTGTTTTCGTTGTGGCAGGAGGGTACAGGAAAACAGGCGGAGCACAACTAACAACAAAACGAACACATAACGAAAGACAACGTTCAGGTCCAGCCCTGCACACGATTTGTCATTATTCAGCGCTGACAACTCAAGCTATGGTGGCCCAGCTGCTTGCTCGCATGCTCTCCCACGGTACTTCCCCGCGCCGACCTGCACGGTCCGAGCTGGCCCGTTTCGTTTGCTCCTCTCGCGCTCGTTTCTCTTGTCGCTTCCGTGCCTCAAGTGAGCGACGCAAGAAAAACGGGGTCGCCTCCGCCGACGTCGGCGCCCACGCTGCCCGCGTAAGCTCTCGCGCGAGCGCCCTCGCCTGCAGGCGGGGCGTGCCGCGTGGGCGGCCCGCGCAAGCCACCGCGTGAGGCCGCTGCGCCATCTCGCGTACGACCCGCTTCCGATCGTCGCTTCACTCGCCTCCGGTGCACCCCGCCGCTTGCTTTGGCCGGCGCCTACCCGTCGTGCACCGCCCGGCGCCCGCGGCTTTGAAAGACAAACATGGTCAGCGCCTCGGAGCGACGGACGACAGCGGCGAGCGTCCCGGCAGCAGTCCGGCAGCACTGCTCGAGGCCCCCTCCGAGCGCAGCGCCGCGCATCGTTCACGCCGTCTTGCGCGCCGTCTCACGCGGAGAGAAAGTCCGTGCGGCTGTCTTGTGTTGGCGCTGGACCCGCCTCCTGTCCCCGCTGGCGTCCGGCGCCGACCCCGCTGGCATTTCACCAGCCTCGAACTTATCCCTATCCCTAAGATTGACACGCCGAAAGGCGATGGCAATCTTAGGAATGCGCCCTCAAAAACTGAGGGAATCCCTAAGATTTGCATCGTGATGGGGCGACGCCCAGCATAGGGATAGGGATATGTTCCAGGCTGATAAGCATTTGAAGCGTTGTTGAATGCAGCCGTTGCGTTCTCTGCTCGGAGCCCTGGCGGGAGATGTCGGCATGGCTCGGGACACAAAGGGGACGGCCTTCCCCGTTTCGGGCGCAGCCCAGATCCGTTTCTCCGCGCGGCGCATTGGGCTGATTGGTGGAGTGGTCGTACCTGTTTCGGGCCGAACGAAAGGGGGGGATTGGGAAAGGGTGGGTTACGAGATTTGCTGCATGCAGCTGGTTTCGGCCCCACCGAGGGGCCCATTCCTCGATACACCGCCGCCTCCGGCGCCGGGAGGCGCCAGGAAAATCAGCTACGTGAGCTGATTCTGCAACCCCCCCTTTGCTATCCCTCCCTTTCGCCCAGACCGACTGTTGGGCGGCCGTTTTGTTTCGGCCGCGTGCGCAACGGAGTCAATAGCAGGCGGCTGCTGTATTCTCGTCCGCCGAGTGCGCAACAAATGGCGCAACCAGTCGCAAGTCGTTCTGCGATCGGCCGTTGAGAGCGCAACCCATGGCAGAATTCATAGCAGACCGCTTGATTCTCGGCCACCGAGTGCGCAACGTCTGGCGTAGACCGTTGTATCATCAGCCGCCGAGCGTGCAGTTCTTGGCGCAGCCCATGGATGGAGCGTAGCCTGGCCCGTGCATGGCGCAATCCGTGGATTGTACAATTCATGGCTTAGCCCATGGATGGCGCAAGACACGGCGTAACGCATGGAGGACGCCGCACATCAGACAAACCATGGATCGCGTACAGTCAGGGCCCTGAAGAAGGAACCCTTTTCGTTAGGGAGGGGCTCCGTGTTCCTTAATTGTTTCACAATGTGCCTCACGTTTCCCTGAGGTTTTCGATGGGAAATCGAAGTTCAACTTATGGACAAAAGGGGCCTCGTTCCTTATTTAGGGTTCCTTAGGTCAACGCCCCGACTGTAACCCATGACGCGCCACATGGGTGGCATACATCCCTCACAGGTTCTCTACAGTGCTGTGCCCGATTCGTGCTCACCGGTTGGGCTGGCGGTGGGGTCCACGCGGGCGAGTTGTCTTGTGGCTGCTTTTTTGTCTCTAGCAGGACTTCCGCAGTAGGAGGATGGCCAGCGTGGTCGGGGGGTGCACTATATCCACATACACTTTCGCTGGTTTGCCAGTAAGTATTGGGCCCAAGGTCGATGTAACTGTTTCTCGGGCCAGTCCACCGATCCTGAGTCCAGGGTGCGCCCGGTTTGGATCAGGCGTCTATGCATTTCCTAGGAGGAGCGTGAGGATATTTCCGTTGTAGAAAGAAGGAGGGACGGAGGAGCGATTAGGCAAATGTCAGAAGTGACGGGTGGGGGTGGGGGATGGGGAAGGGGGGGCATCGCTTGCTCTTCCTCACCCCCTCTTTTCCTCCCGCCTCACCCTTCTATGCTACCTTCTCTTTCCCCCTGGATCGCTCCTTGTCACCCACACTCATCCTCTCTCCTTGTCCTCGTACCCATCCGCCTCACTCCTTCCCCTTCTGCCATCCTCGCAATCCTCCTCGTCCTTCTCCGCCTCCACCTTCTCGCTCCCCTCGTTCTCGTCCTCCCCTTCGTCGGCGTCGTTCCCCAGCTTCGATTGATCGACCCTCGAAGCTTGACGACGCCGACGACGTCGACGCCGACGCCGACGCCGACGCCAACGACGACGACGACGACGGTGATGACGACGATCTTAACCCTGGCGCTGGCGACGCCGACTCGGACATCGGCGCTGACGACGCCGACGCGGACGACAACTTTGACGACGGACCCGGCGCCGACGACGCCGACCCCGACAACGCCGACGACGACGCCGACGACGCCGACGCCGACGACTACGACGCCGACCCCGACGCCGATGACGACTCCGACGATGCATACGACGTCGACGGCGACGCCGATGGACGACGACGCCTGCCCCGACGCCGACGACGAAGACGCCGACGCCGATGACGACGCCGCCGTTCACGAGTGGGCGAGCCGTGCCTCGGGCGGCGCCGCGGCAGGAAGATGCAGGCGGTGGCCCAGCTCGACGACGCGCGCCCAGCTGGCCCCGTGTCGGGCCGCCCGGTCCGTCGGGCGTCCGCGGGCCTCGTGCTGCCGCTCGGTTCGGCGCGGCGCGTCGTCAACCAGTTCGGGTGCATACGGTTGGGACGCGCACCGAGAGGATATACGGGCGGATCAAGAGCACGGGGCCGCCTCCGCCGACAGTGTCGCGCAAGCTGCCCGCGTGAGTTGCCCGCGCAAGGTCGCGCATGAGCGCCCTCGTCTCCAATGCTGCGGGCCGCGCTGGTGGCCCGCGTGAGCCACCGCGTGGGGTCGCCATGGCGTCGCGCGTAAGACCCGTTTCTTTTCGTCGCCCATCAGTTTTTCGTCAATGGACCCCAGGTTTCCTCGCGGCGCGCGCCGCGCGGTGGCGCCCCGTGGGCGTGAAGCAATTGGTGCAGTAAGGGTGCATTGGTAGGGGAACGAACAATGACATAAACACAACAACTCGGAGGTCCGTGCGGATTTCTCGGATCGGCGCTGGGGCCCCTCGGCGGCGCCTCCGGCGCCGCCCCTGGCGCGCTCCACGCGCCAGGGAGGGGGGTCCAGCGCCGATCCGAGAAATCCGCGCGGACCTCAGAGTTTTTATGTTTATGTGACTTCTTGTTCCGCTAATTGGATTCCCCTAGTTACAACTCGCGCGCGGATTTTCATGGTCGGGTTTCCTGCGAGGGTGTCTTGTGGTCACCCCCGCACTGTATTCGGACGGCTTTGCCCGTCCTGCAAACTGTGTTCTTGTCATTGCGTCCCTGGAGAGCAGTTAAGAATCCCCTCCCCAGCCCTCAGCACCAAATTAGCTTATGTAGTTCTGAGTGCCGTCGTTACGGGTATCGCCTTCGGGCGATCCCTGTATGGTGCCACGAACCGATTTATTGAGTGGGGGGAGGCGCATGCGAACACCGCCACTGGGGCCTTCGGTAGAGCTCCCTATAGAGCCAAGAAGCGTCTCACTTGGTCTGGGAGACGCATGCGTACACCGCAACTGGGGCGGTGGAGCTGGGCCACCAAAAGCTCTATTGGTGGGGGGAAGACGCATGCGAACACCGCCAGTGGGGCCTTCGGTGGAGCTCTCTATGGGGTGACGAAACGTTGTATGCGTTGTGGGGGACGCATGCGCACACCGCCATTGAGGCCTTCAGTGGAGCTCATTATGGGACAACGAAGCGCTGTACCGAGTGGGGGAAACGCATGCCAGCACTGCCACCTGGGGCCTTTGGTGGAGCCCCCTGTGGTGCCGCGAAGCTCTTTACTGGGCGGGGGAGACGCATGTGAACACCGCCACTGGGGCCTTCGGTAAAGCCCCCTATGGGGCCACGAAACGTTGCATACGGTGTGGGTGACGCATGCGAACGCCGCCATTGAGGCCTTCAGTGGAGCTCATTATGGGACAACGAAGCGCTGTACCGAATGGGGGAAACGTATGCCAACACTGCCACTGGGGCCTTTGGTGGAGCCCCCTTATGGGGCCGCGAAGCTCTTCACTGGGTGGGGGAGACGCATGCGAGCACCGCCACTGGGGCCTTCGGTGGAGCCCCCTATGCGGCCACAAGGCGCACTGGTTGGGGGGTAGATACATGCGAGCACTGCCAGTGGGGCATTCGGTGGAGCTCCCTATGGGGCCAAGAAGCGTCTCACTTGGTTTGGGAGACGCATGCGCACACCGCCACTGGGGCCTTCGGTAGAGCTCTCCATGGGACAACGACACGATCTATAGGGTGGGAGAGACGCATGCGAACACCGCCACTGGGGCCGTCAGTGGAGCTCCCTATGGGGCCACGCAGCGCTGCGGGGGAGACGCATGCGAGCACCGCCACTGAGGCCTTCGGCGGAGCTCCGTATGGGGTCACGAAGCGCTGTACTGGGTGGGGGAGACGCATGCGAACGCTGCCATTGAGGCCTTCGATGGAGCTCCCTATGCGGCCACGAAGCGCTGCACTGAGTGGGGGAGACGCATGCGAACACCGCCAATGAGGCCGTCGGCTGAGCTCCCCATGTGGCCACGACACGTTGTACTGAGTGCGGAGGGAAGGGGCAGGGATGGGAGGACGGCGAGGAGGGAGGACCCGGGGCGCTGTCTCTTCAAAACGAGGACCCACCACCACATATTGGTTGTGAGTGTATTCCGCCAAGCAGTTGAATTTACACCCGAACTCGTGAGGCTGATAGTGATATCGATAGTGCGATCGATGGTTGGTTCGATTATGAGATCGGTAGTGTGATCAATCGAGGAATCGATAGTGAGAGGGATCGTGACATCGATTGTGAGATATATTGTCATATCGATCGCGAGATTGGTTCGGTGTCGTTGGTGGGATCGATGGTGAAATCTGTAGCGGGATTGATAGTGAGATCGATAGTGAGGTCGATACTGTGGTCGGGAGTGATACCTATAGTGAGAGCGATAGTAAGAGCGATCGTGAGATCGATTGTATTATTCACAGTGCTGTTGCTAGTGGGAATTATGATGGTATTGATCGTGATATCAATACTAAGTGAGATCGAGAGTGAGGCCGATTGTGCGATTGATAGTGGGATGGACAGGGATATCGGTAGTCAGAGCGATAGTGAGGTCGCTTGTCAGTGAAATTGAATGCGTGATCGATAGTAAGATCGATAGTGAGATCGACCGAATCAGGTCGACGGTGAGAGCGATAGTGAGATCGCTAGTGATATCGCTTGTGGGATCGATAGTGGGAGGGATCGTGAGATCGATAGTTAGATTGATTGTGAGAGGGACAGTGAGATCGATAGTGAGAGCGAGTGTGGTCTCAAAAGTGAGAAGGATAGTGCAGTCGATAGTGAGTTCCATAGTGAGATCGATAGTGAGATCGACTGAGATCGATTGTGCGATCGATCGATAAAGAGATGGATAGGGAGATCGTGTGAGTGAGACATTGTTTCCTCCCACCGAATCTCCTTATCACCCGAAGGGCCCGAAGGGTGGTCGTATAGCTCCATCCAGGAGAATGTTGCGGGAGACACCAAGAACATGAGGGGGACCCCAGCTTCAAGCCACCCCCCCTTCTTCCAAGGTGGGGCAGTCTTCCGAAGCCACCCCCTCCTCCCTTGGGAAGCTAGGGCCGGCCTTTCAAGAGGGGGGGAGCTTCCATAGCCCCCGGTCCCCCGCCACCCTCTTCGACGCCAGGGTAGGCCCTGGCTGCTCTCAGCAGCGGAGCTTCAGGAGGGAGATACCCCCCACCCACCCCCTGCTGCAAGGCGGCGTGGGGGGGCTTCGGAAGCTACGACACCCTACCCCCCCTTTAGGCTTCAAGGGTGTCCGGGCTCACCTTCGGCGGGGGTGCGGGCTTCAGAAGCTCCACCCCCCCCTTGGCGAAGCAGGGGGTCGCCAGTCAAGGGGGGGGGTCTTCCCAAGCTACCCCCTCAATCTCCTTTTCGCGGCTGGGGATAAGCCCGGGCTGACCTTTGCAGATAGGGGGGCTTCGGAAGCTCCCCCCTTCCCCCCTTTCTCGTGGATGTGTGCGAAGTCGCGTCGTCGTTGTTGTCGTTCTGGTCGGCGTCGCCGTCGTCGTATTCGACGTATTTGTTGTATTCGTCGTCCTTGTTGTCGTTTTCGTCGTCGTGCTTCTCGTCGTGCTTCTCGTCATCATCGTCGTCGTTGTCTCTCTCGTCGTCGCCGCCGTCGTCGTCCTCGTCCTCGTCATCATCGTTGTCGTCGTCGCGCGTTGAGACCATGGCAGAGCAGAATAATACATACTTGTTGTTTCCGCTCTCTGCGTTTCCACGTTACGAGTAGTGCGTGTATATCTATATATGTATGTATATATACAAGTGGCACGTGTGTGCCAAGGCTCATCCAAAAAATCTGAAAGGACGTTTGAAGCAGGAAGACACCATGACTGCAGGATCGGAGATGGAATAGGGGAAGCTGGGGCAGCGCCGCCAGGGCGTGCCTGAGAGAAGGGGAAGAGGCAGGAGGTGAACTCAGAATAATCTAAGATCGAGGTCGCACTCGAGCGCAAGTGGGGTTGCCACACCTTGCGATGTGTGTACCAGGACCCCCCAGGAAACCTCAGGAGGCCCGACTTGGATACCGGAAGAGGCTCCAGGAGGCCCCGGGATTGTGAGTGTTGTGTGCGTGTGATGTGTGGTTTGTGTTGTGCGTGTTGTCTTTGCGTTGTAGGTGTTGTGTGTTACGTTTGTCTAGCGTGTGATGTGTTGGGTGTGAGTTGTGTCTCTTTGTGTGCATGTAGTTCTGAGGCCCCAGGAGGCCCCAGGAGGCCCCAGGCGGCCTCAGGAGGCCCCAGGAGACCCCAGGAGGCTCCAGGAGGTCCCAAGAGCCTCCAGGAGGCCGCAGGAGGCCCCAGGAGGCCCCAGGAGGTTCCAGGAGACCCCCAGGAGGCTCCGAGGCGGGGTCTGGGGTACCAGAACGCACAGAAAGCCCCAGGAGGCCTCAGGAGGTTCCAGGAGGCTCCCAGGAGGCTCCGAGGCGGGGTCTGGGGTACCAGAAGGTACGTCGGGGCTCGATTTTGGGAGGATGTCTCAGGCGAAACCGCCATTCTCCGAGAATCGGAGTCAAAATCATTGAAATCACCATGTGTTTTTCAAGGTTTTATATTCGAATGTTGAAATTCCTTTGTGTTTTTGGACGCTGACGTCACGATCTGCGTGAGGGGTGCCACCGATGTTCAGAATCTCGAGGATGTCCCGAGCAAAACGGCCAGACAAATCGCGGACGCGGCGCCCCGCGTACGCATTCATCGCCTCTGAGCTCTACTCCCTCGGAGAGGGGCGTATGAGAATCTATATGTATGTATGTGTATATATATATATATATATATATATATATAGCCCGGGGCCTGTATCGGTCCTTTGCGGGGCGGTTCCACCCCCGGGAGAGTTCCAAGAGCATCCACGATCGCCTCCAGACGGCCTAAGAGTCTTCCAAGACGACCCCATAGCGCCCCAAATGCGCTCGAAGACCGCTTAAGGTGGCCTCAAGGCAGCCCAAGAGACTCCCAAGAGGACCCCCA